GGTGCTGCCGTCGTCGGTGGGCGGTGGCTGGGGCGGCTCGTCGTCGGAGGCGTCGCCGGTGGAGGCGGCGGCGGGGTCGCTGTGGGCGTGGGCGTCGTGGGGCGCGCCGGCGGGTCAGGTGGTGGCGAAGATCCGTGCGGTGGACGCGGACTCGGGCTACAACGCGTGGCTGCGGTACGAGTTGTGGGAGCCGCGTGGGAAGGGCCCGTTCCGCGTGGGTCTGTACAGCGGCGAGGTGACGACGTCGCGGGCGCTGGAGGAGGCGGACGGTCCGCGTCAGAGGCTGGTGATCGTGGTGCGGGACCACGGGGAGCCGTCGCGCTCGGCCACGGCCACGCTGAGCGTGTCGCTGGTGGAGGGCGGCGAGGGAGCGGCGTCGGCGTCGGGGGGCTCTTCGTCGTTGTCGGGTGTGCGTCCGTGGTCGGGGTCGGAGGGCGTTGGGTCGTCGTCGGGAGCGTCGTCGACGAACGTGTGGCTGGTGGTGGCGATCTGCGCGGTGTCGAGCGTGTTCCTGCTGGCGGTGGTGCTGTACGGGGCGTCGCGGTGGGCGCCGCGGGCGGCCGTGCTGTCGGGGGCCGGTCCGGCGACGCTGGTGTGCGCCAGCGAAGTGGGGAGCTGGTCGTACTCGCAGCGCCAGAGCCGGAGCCTGTGCGTGGCGGAGGGCGCGGGCAAGAGCGACCTGATGGTTTTCAGCCCCAACTTCCCGCCGCCGCCGCCCGGCCCCGCGGTAGCAAACGGTTCTCTCGGGAAGGGTCCGTCTCTCTCCCCTCTTGCTTCAGGCGTGGTAAGTGTGTGTGCCAATATTCCACCCCCGCTCTTTTCCGTAGTTCTGTGTACCTTCCACTTTTCATGGATTACCTGTGTACTAAACGCATTTTCTGTGGTAATAATTTTACAGTGCGAGTCCTGGCATTGTCGGGTTTTTACTGATTCATAAGCTCACTGGTCGATGAATTACGCAGATCTTGAGAAGGTGAAGTTCGTGAAGTGTAGGTTATAGGATTCAATGAGAGGAAGAAACGTTGGTGGAGGTCGTGAGTACCGTTCTGACTCTGGAAGTGCGCTGAAAAGGTGGAAGAAATTGGAGTGAGACACAAGATGCTTTATGAAGAAGTGGAGAGCTGCATGAGCAAGGGGGTGCTCCCCTTCCTCGCTTCGCCTCTCCACAAAGCCTGATTCCGCTCTCTTCGTAGTGTTGTGGCTTCTGTGCTGTCCCCTCCACCCCGCAAACGTGCTGCGGTTAGTTGAGCCGAAAATTAAGTTGATGGCGTTCAAGAGAGGGAGGAAGAGTTTCTATATGCAATATTGTGTAGTCTAGATACGGTAGATTGAAAACTTTTGGTTCTCCCAGCAGTAGAGCAGAAGCTGCAGGGAAACGCAAATTAGGCTGGAAAGAAGTTTTCGATACTGTTTACAACATTAGTTTTCTTGCGTGTAGTACGATTGCTTAATTACCGTGTTTTAACACCGTTATCGAAGCAGTTGGTCCTGGACATGCACTAACGGCACCGAATTTACTCAGTTTGCATCGAGACCAGCTCCAAAGCCCTCTGAGATGAGGTATTAGGATCATGATTTTGGTCATTAGGATCGTGTTTTGTGTTCCTTGTCCCATGTTAGAAGATGGATGCAGCTTCTACAAGAAAAATCGACGATCTCTTACATTTTATATCTATAGCGTAAAACTGAAATCTTTAGGAATGCCGGGGTAATAAGAACAAGCAGTACATTTATATCATTCTTTTTCATGTTCCGTGTTCAATTCGCCAGAGACACACTTTTGGATAACTGCCGTGGTTGTGGCAAAGTGATAGCTGTGACGCCATCTATTTATTTTCTTAACTTGCGTTTTGTTGGGTTTTCTACTAGTGTTTTACACGAAGGACGTGGACTAAAAAAAAAATAATAAAATCGCAGATCGTTTGTTCCAAATTGACAAGAATGGTGCTATAGGGGTATTACCGAAATACTGTAAAGAAAGCTGAAAACTTCAAGTCGGTCTTGAGAAAAATCATAGGAGTATATTATCTCCCTCTGATCCATAGAAAAATGTGAGCGTGTCCCACAAATTTCTATTTCCTTCCAGTATCTGTATTAGATCCTTTAGTTAGGGCTTTGAATTCTGTGTGTATTCGATGGGGATTGTGTTTCTAGTTTCCTCTGATCACGTCCGATAGCTGATGTGCCTAAGGGGAGTGCGTCATTACCTCTTAAGTATGTGTGAACTGCCTTCACTTGTGTGTAGCAAAGTGTATCCCAAGAGCTGTAGAGCTGTCACTTTCCTTAATTCGCATGGATGTGACAGAAGGCAGGAACAGCAAATCGGGAGAATCTTCTGGTTAGGTTTATAAGAAGGTTGAACTAATTCTGTAGAAGAGGATGGAAAACTCGGCAGTTCCGCACAGGTGTAGGAAGCAAATCCTTTCCTTGGGCTGTGAAACCGCACGGTTTCTCTTGATTTCTCTGCCTGCAGTAAAGATCTGACCGACATTTGTTAGGGTCGTCCACTGGCAGGACATATTTCAGTATTTATTTTAGAAACACAAAGCAATCTTAATTTCGTGGGTGGTCTTACTTGGCAGCATACTCTGGGAAGGAATCATTAACACAAGGCGCTAAAATATCCAGACATAGTCTTGAGAAAAAGATAACCATTTCGCGCGGGGCTGTCAGTCGCTGCAAGCCCAGTCTCTCATTCCCGTCTCATGTTGTTTTGAGAACGATGCTAACAGCGATGTTATCAGGCACAATGCAATCGGGCAGCCGGGTACGCTGTAGAGCTTCCGCGGGCTGCTCCGGGAGCGGAAGGGGCGGAGAACGGCGGAAAAGCCGCTGGTGCAGCGCCAGCACCACCGCGGTGGCCGGCGGATGCTTTGCAGCCTCAGAAGTAGAGATTTTACAGGCAGGGAGATGCCCGGCACAGCTGCCGGAGTTTTTTCGAGAGACGCTGGGTGCTCGACTCGGAGCTGCTCTGCCGCACGATTTGGGGACTGTTCCCCCGTACCCGCCGTTGCTGTTGTCCCTCCGGCATCTTCCGCTAAGCCCAGCGATCTGAGGGGGTACCGATTTATCACAGAATCACAGAATCGTAGTGGTTGGAAGGGACCTCAGAGATCATCGAGTCCAACCACAAAAAAACCCACAAAAAACACGAACCACCACCCACCACCTAAACACACAACAACAACCACCAAACCAAAAACCACCCCCCACCCACACAGCACCCCACCACAAACCAGTAATCTTGGGCACCAGAGCATGCCCTGAAGAACTATGTCTACACGTTTCTTAAATACCTCCAGGGATGGTGACTCCACCACCTCCCTGGGCAGCCCATTCCAATGCTGGATAACCCTTTCAGTAAAGAAATGTTTCCTAATATCCAACCTGAACTTCCCCTGGCGCAACTTGAAGCCATTACCCCTTGTCCTATCATCTGTAACTTGGAAGAAGAGACCGACCCCTGCCTCTCTACAGCCTCCTTTCAGGTACTTGTACAGAGCGATAAGGTCTCCCCTCAGTCTCCTCTTCCCCAGACTGAACAACCCCAGTTCCCTCAGCCTCTCCTCGTAAGACTTGTGCTCCAGACCCCTCACCAGCTTGAGGGGTATTGGGGGTAAATAGTCCAATCTTCGCCCTCGCGTTCTAGAAGGGAGTTCTGGCGGGCGATATAGCGAGTAGCCCGTTGTGAGTCCGTATTTCTGTCGCTTGCTGTGGGCAACGAGGATTTTCGTGGGATTCGCTGAAATCTAGAAATCCTCTGCGTACGAGATTGTTCTCCCGGGCTTCTTGTAGTCATCTCAGCTCCCGCTGTCCGCACGTAGTAGCTCCGAGCTCTCGTGGCTTGTTGAAGGGTAACCTGTCATGGCTGCCCGCTCTGCCAGCAGGCATAGCCTCCCTCCGCGGAGCCGGCGCGGTCGGAGCTGAGGGAACAACAGCGGAGCAGCCCGGCTCTGCGGCCAACAGCAGAGCTGCTCTGCCCGCCCCTTTCGCCGTGGGAGGCGCGGGGCTGAGACGGAGATCGCGGAGAGGGGAGCAACCACGGGGGACAGCGGGGGCTGTCCGCCACCCTGGGTCCCGAACGGGACCCCGGTATTTCGGGTCGCTGGGTGCACCACCGTCCTTGCACTCTTCCTTTCCCGGAGGAGCCCACATGCGAAAGGCGACAGGGGTGTCCCTGCACCTCCGTCGGCGGCTCCGCACTGGCGGTTTGGGCTCCGTCCGAGGAGGAGCTCTGGTCTTCCTCAGTCCGTAGGCAAACCCTATTTACTGTCGGGCTCCCGTCCGCGCACGAGCTTTTCACGTGCTTCTTTCCGGGTGAAAATGAGGTTTGGCGCTGCCGGTCGGTGCGGAGACAGATGCCGGCGCGGAGACCTTATCGGTTCCTCTCGGAGGAGAAACCGCAGGGCTGTCGCTCCATCTGTTTCCCCGAATTGATTCCCCTCAGCTTCCCCTTCTGCTGTCTCCCGCTGTAGTGCCGTGTTCTAATTCAGCACCAGCGGGACCCCTCGGTTCTGGTGGGCGCCCCTGGGATTTTCCCAAGCCTCAGTACCGAGCGGGAGATGCCTTACAAACCTCCGCCGAAGGCGCCACACCGCGGAAACAGCGCCTTAAAATCATCGCTGACGGAGATAATGATGTTCAAACACGAGTGGCCATTCGTGTGGTGCAGCCACTTGTTCCACAGCCCCGAGGTAACCCGGTTTTCCTACTCACCTTTCTATTTTTCTCTTTGCTCGCTTAGCAATTTCCTCTTAACGCTACCATTGATGTGAGCACGACGCGCGCGGCTCGACTAATGCCGTCGTGTTGCCTGAAAAGGGGGTGATTGGCTGAGAATAGGAGACGGGGCGGGAGAAAGAGTACAAGGGATGCTCGGGGCTCTGAGGCGGTGTAAATGCAGCACTGCATCCGTCTGTAGGGCGAAGGGACGTGGAGGAAGCGCTCTGTGAGCAGCGTCGGGGAGCGGGAGATGATGAGAGGGGTTGTGCAGCGCTGGGTGAGACCGCGGACATCCCGGACCATGCTCTTGGGATCGCAAAAAGTTGAATCCCTCGGAGAGTCGTGTCAAAAAACCGGCTTTAAGAATCGGTTAACCCGACGAATGAAATAGGGAACGGTTCGGAGATGGCAGATTGAAGGCACACGTGAGATCAAAGACTCAAAAGAGATTTTAAAAGGTGGTTACGTTATCTGCTGTGATACTAGAAGAAGTGTGTTATTCAACACCATTAAATTAAATAATTAAACACCATTAAAGGTGTTTAATGTGTGAATAATGTAATTAGGGTAAGTGACTTGAGATGGAGAGGAGACCTTTGAGAATGGAGACTCTGAAAAGAGGGATTAGATGTAAGGGTGGCCAAACAAGAGTGAGAGTGTAAAGACACTTTTGAGCCCCGAGGCAGCTGGATGTGGGAGACGGAGCACCAACAGACAGGGGGGAAGAGACCTGGGACTCTGCTGAGCAGAACAGTGCCTTCACACACAGGGCAAGGCTGGATTCAGCCCCCAGGGCACAACAGTGTTACTCTCTTCACGGCAGGAGTGGCTGTGATGTAACTGGCTCTAGATATTTAATGTTACTAAGCACTGGATTTTGGCCGTGACCCAGAGCTGTCTGTCTAAGTGGTGTATGGACCACCATCCGGGCTGGACCGGGAAGGTGGTGCCGCAGGAGTAGGGAGTAGCTGGGTATTGAGATGCTGCTGGCAACACGCATGTCCTCATAAGCGAAGCTGCCTGACTGCTGGAGACGTCACTGTCCACTGCAGAGAGTGGAAA